AAGCATGCCAGCGCGGATAGAAGCTTGCATAAGGGCTAGAGATGGCAACACGGATTATTAAAATTATCAATTTTCTTTTTGTTTTTGCTTTTTGATTTTGAATCCCCTTTTGTCATGGGGAATGGTAGAGCAAAGCTCCTGAAATTAATTATCGTAGAGAAGACAGAAGGCAAAAGAGAACTTGAGAGACGCAAGCACTCTTGGTTGAAAAACAAAAGAGATTGTGGTCTGGACTCACACGCACTCTTTCGATCTGCACAGGACAGACAATGTTTCGCCCAGATTATTGCCAACCTTCATTGAGGATGATACCATAAGTAGAAGATGCTTTCCCCAATTAATATTTGTTATACCGTGACTATAAAATAGGAAGTGAATGCGAGAATGATACACCCGAATATGAATGAAAGCCACTTGTTTTCAATGGTAAGACAAAATGTCACATTTCTATTGCAGAAATTCTTCCTCTAGGAGATGCAAGACCTTGTCGTTGGTGGGAAAGCTCCTTGTCAGGTGCTGGAGGAATCTCCTCTAGTACTTTAGCTCGGTCTAAGGAGCATCTCACTGTCTTGTCCCTGGCTGTAGTGTCGTGGCCAGGGAATGGCACCAAGACATGTAACGATGCCGAACGGGGCTACCCCTGTCCGTCATACCAGGCACATGTCTCGCGGTTAGAAGGTGTGGGGGGGTCTTGGCTTAACCGCCTGGACCCAGAGGAGACAACCTCACCAAAAACCTAAATCCTACGATGGCGGGACCAGGTCAAAGTCTGTAGAAGTGGACCGACTATCCCTAGCGACACGTGGGAACACTATGAGATCTAGTACTAAAAACACCACCGGTGACGCTGTGGGGAAGCCCCCTAGTGACACTGGGAACATTACAAATGAAAGTTCCAAGGGACCAAATCCAAAGGAAACTACAGGGGGGGCGGCTGACACTTGCATGGAATCATCCCCCACAAGTAGCACACAAGCTACCACCTTCTCCAGCAAGGGTCGGGAGCCTACCTCTAGACCCAATAAGCGACATAAGCTACCGTTTGCCACTATTGCTGGACAAGTGAAAATGGTGGTGCTGCCAAAGGATTTCCCAGAGGTTGCTCTGACCACCGACCAGCAAACGTCTCTAGAAGAGGTTATACTGGACGAAGTAGTGGCGATGGGATCGCAATACAACGATCTTCAAAATGTGGGTCAGCTGCGTTTTGCGGGGATACACTTTCGCGTGGGCATGATCTTCATAGATTGTGTATCTCAAGAATCGGCGAATTGGTTGGTGGAAATCGTACCTAAGCCTAAAAATTGGCAAGGGCCGGTACTGGTTGCAATGAAGGGAGAAAACATCCCTAAAGGGGCGGCCATAGGGTTTTTTTCTGCCGAGGAGCAAGGGGAAAGACGCCACCTACCTGCTGAGCCTTATCCAAGGTCAGAACTTCAATGTAAAGACATCGAGTTTGCGAGTCATCAACTCGATGGAGGAGGGTCATGGTCAGGTCCTCACACGAGGAATTGACCTCAAATCCAAGGAGGCAATAGAGAAAGAGGGACATATCCTATATTATAGATACGGGACAACACCGGTATCAGGTCTAAGGAGAGACCAAGTTAAAGAGGTGGAGAAAATGGAGACAGATCATCAAGCCTCCACCTCACGGGTTCCTCAGCCGGAGGCAAGATCCTCGACTGTGAAGAGCGGCACGGAGAGCCAAACTCTAACCGTAGAAGTGTACCCTTGGAGGAAGAACTGTTGTCAGAGGAGGATGGGAAATACCCTGTCCCCTCTACAACAGGGGTACGATAGGTTATAGATTGTGTGATAACTCAAGGAAGGGGGGCACAATAGATCTTTAAGGTCGCAGTGATTAACCCCCTCTCTTACTCATTCTACATTCTACATTGCAGAAATTGCACTAGCTACCATACCTTAATAGAAACATTCTTCTTTCTGTCAAAATCTAAAATAACCAACTTAGTTTTTAATGCAGAAATGTTTGCATTTATGATAACAAAATCTTTGAATTATCATAACAATTATGCAAATGAAAGTGTTTATTTGTCTTATTTACATATACACAGTTACAAATATATTAGTAGCAAAGTGATAGAAGTTGTTAGCGAGTTTACTCTTTATTTCATCCAATCAAATCGTGATATGCCACTGTCATTAGTTATAATGCGGAAATAATTGAATCGTTTAATATGCATACACATGTACATATATTTATAGATATGACTAACGTTTCGATTATATCGAACACAGGATCAACTTTTACTTGACCGATGATTTTTCAATATATACGTTACGTTTTTCTCTCTCTTCTCTTGACTTCGTGATGTGGGCAGGTTAATATTGGATATAAAAAACATAATGAATTATGATTGATTGTATAGAGATGTAATTTAGTTTTTCTTTGAACATTGAATAATAGCAGTTTCCGTATATAGCAAAAACTCATTATATCGATTCTTTTTATTATTAGGTACTATGGCAAATATATCGATTGGCACACAAGTAGAAATTATTGGAAATTGTAATTCTATATATTATAGGTCTATTTTTGTTTCTCTTAAAAGTTAAAAACTTTCAATCCTTGACTGTATATATATTAGAAAAAAAAACGGCGTCAAAGATGGCTGGAATTTAAATTTCCCGCTGCGGTTTCAGGTGGTAGTTCTGCGCTTATAAATGACAAGTTGTCACATTTATTTATTTAATTCCTGACATTGTCATTCGTTTTGATACTTTAGTCTCTTATTACGAGTTTTTGGTTTAGCATTTACATTTTCCAAATGCTACTTTGTTTTATTATAGACGGTTTTTTTATTATTGTATCGATATTCTTTTTACATTTTTACAACACTTAAATTTCGCAACGCTCTCTATCGAAAATATTGGATCGTACCCTGGTGTATCGACAAGACGGGAAACGTCAAAATCGTCACCTCGGATTTGGCCGTTGCCGAGGTCACTGTGCCATTTTCAGAATTAAATTTATTTGGCCGGTATTTTTCACAATATGGGAAAAATATTGTGATTTTGTTATCCTATAGATGGTTGAATGTCCCATATAGATTTTGATTGCTTAGATTTTAAAGGATCTATAGTTTTGGTAAGATTTTCTTTGACATTCCATTCGTTAGAAAAAACCTTTACATGCCTTTCTTTTAGATTCCAGTTTTTTCGATGGCAAGTGTCCAGCCCTTATTTGAAAAGAAATGTTAAATCATTGATTGTGTGCCTTCACAATGAGGTAAATTAATACCGTTGTAAATTTTTCGAGTTTTTTTAAATGTAAGGTTAACTAATACCGTGCATTTCTTTTTAGGTTCTTCTCAACGTTTTTCTTCCGATTTTTCTTCAAGTATTTCTAGACATTTTTCCCAACGTTTTCTACAGTTTTTCTACACTTATGTCTAGATGTTTTTCGCCAAGTTTTTCTACCAGTTTTTCTTCGAGTTTTTCAATCACCGAGTTGATCAGTAGCAGCCTGTTCAGTTAGATTTCAGCCCTGCACCCCTCTAAGGAAAAGTTGGATGCTGTGATGTGTTTGTATTATTAAGATCCTTTTTTTGGTATAATTTGGTATACAAGGCCAGTATATATTTTATAGTAACTAAAATTTTATTAATTTGATTTTAAATAATCATTAGTGTGTTAAGAAATTAACTATTCTTAACATTTTACATTTAACCGGTTAAGTACTTGCCTTCAGCATTACTTTTACCCTTAATTTATAAAATTTAACGTTCTGTTAGAATTTATGTTTTTTTAACACTTTAAGCACTTGCCTTCAGCATTGCTTAAATTTTACTTGTATTTGATTATTAAAGTAACCATGATTGATTGATTATTCGGATTTAACATCTATTTATGTTAACCTTTTATATCATTACGATCTTTGACCTGTAAGGGCAATCCTGGGTACAGATTTTAATCTTTTTCCCCTTACCTATATATAAACAAAAAGGTTCATGAATCTTCATAATAAGTCAAGTCAAATTTAAATAATTATTATTCGAATATAACCAAGACCGTCTCTAAAAGTATTCCTTTTATATTATAATTGTTTGAATAATATTTGAAAAGATATAATATTAGATAATTTGATTTTAAACAAGTTTTAAGATAGAGTTTCTTAAACATATTTCTTGTATACTAATGTACATAACTGCTGTGCTAAGAGGTACAGAATAATTTCTAGCAAGAAATAAATATTATTTTTTGGGGTATTTGAATTGTTTCATTGGTTGATCCAGTTTCTCAAAATATTTAATAGCTATACTAATTTTAGTTTCTATTCAATTGATACACTTGTACAAATTTTCTTATTTCTGTTTGTACTATCCTTTGTAAAGTATTAGCATCTTTTTGAAATAAGTGGCGCCCTTTGGTATGCAACGTAAGATATAGGTGGGTATCATATTTTTAGTCAAGTGCAGAAGCAAAAGCTTGTTCCCACCGCCTCCGATATAAGAGTAGCCGTTCGCAACATTTTGACTTAAATTCTCAATAAAAGGAAAGTTTTTGTCACAATGTGTTGTGTTGTGATACTTTAAGCTTAAAAAAACTAGCAGATCTTGCAGTCGAACATTGTTCTTTTTATAACCTCTTTTAATCCGAAGTGTACAAGATAGCTTAATAGCCGTAAAATATTCATCGCAACTTTATTTGAATATTTTGAAAGGGAAAGCGGTAGTAATGACCATTTATGCCCCTTAAGTGCTGTTAAGAAGTTGAGTTTAGTTGCTGTAAATAAAATAATAGTTTATATATTATTTATAATTATTGTATTTTTGTTTCCTAAAATATTTTGACTAAAAAAATATGTAAAAGTGGGCAACGCTGTGCCGGTCAAGCTTAATCACGTGACGAAAAGTTTATTTGGTATGAACTATACATCTATAACATAGTGTATTTGTATTATAAGAAAAGTTAATTAGAAGAAGAATAGGTATATATAGTAATAAAACTACGCGGTATTTTTTAAAGAATGGCGTTTTTATTCTTGTAATTTAACGTTTTTTGAAAACTAAAACCTGTTCGTTGTTAACAGTATCAGTATACTAAGTTTAATTATAAAATGGTTTGACTTTATAATATGTTTAGACATAACACAAGTACAAACATTTAGTACACATACTCAGTTGTGGTGGTAACAAAACGTTGCTCTGAAGCTGAAAAGAAATAAAACTGCTCTTGATACCATGTTTAAAAATAAAAGATTATGAGTTGTTTATGTTTCCCTTTTTGAGTACTTACATTCTCTGATTTTAAACGTAACAGATTCTACAAGACAGTCACCATATACGCTTAGATGGGTCACTTGACTCATAGACATTCTGTGTGGAAAGATGCAGAAAAATTTTCCATCAATATACATCTAAAAATACCAAGTAAGTAATATTAGTTTAGTTTTTCCATGCCGTGTGGTGCATCGGAATACGGGATGTGATTAATGTAATAATAATAACCATGTAAATTTTGAAAAGATCAAATATTATCTCCCCAGATGATTTTATGCAAAAATTGTATGATACTTTTTTGAAGAGGAGTTAAAGTTGTACTGTTGTCTAGAATTTTGTTTTATTTGAAACAGGCATTTAAAAGATATTTGCAAAAATCTACCTTCAAATTACTAAAAATTTATAATACGGCACAGAGAAAGCTACATTTAAAATAGATACCAACAAAAATATGATTTTGTAATTGTCAAGTTCGATGTCATATTTTGTTTACAAGAATTTATGTGGTTTGGAAAACGTAGTATTTTTTTCTCTGAATTGGAATGATCATCTACAAAAGAATTAGTTGAACTGAGAATACTATACGCGGTGTATGACTTTTGTTTGCTATTGACTCAGGCCTCGCTCATACTACATACTATCCACAATAATTTAATAAATAAAAGAAATATTTGTAACTAAAGGGACTTAAAATATATTAATAATAAAATGTTCACATTACATAACCCCCATTCCCAGACAGACAATACCACTAATGATTGTAAAATCCACGCCTCACAAGAAAAAGCTGTTAAGTGGAGAATCTTTAGCATTTAACAGAGATGTCGTTTTTAGTTCATCTAAGTTTCTTTATTTAATATGCCCACAAAGACGGTTTGTTTTTGAGTGTACTTCACAGGAAGAAGTCGTTCGGCGAAAGATCCCATAGTCTTTTCCTACTGTATCTCCAATAGACGGAAATCTACTTACTCTATTTAGTACCTTCAAATTATTGTAAACAAAATGTGACATCGGATTTGACAATGACAAAATCACATTTTTGCTCGTATTTTAATTGTAGCACACAGACACTTGATAAATTGACAGAAGAAACGTATAATGATTTTAATGACCAATATGCCAGATTACCTAGATTCATATTTAGGAGGACATTTACTTTTAAGAAATGGGGACATATTGGGATTCAAGTCCGTATATTCCTTTAAAGGCTGCAGCCAATAAGTTTTTATCGTCTCCATCAACGAGTGTGGCTAGTAAATAACAATTTAACTCTACTGGTCAACTTTTTTCTATTCGAAGAGCTAATTTATTAGAAGGGAATGCAGATAAGATTCTTTTTCTAATATTAGGAGGTTCAATTTTGAATAGTGAGCTTCAGGCTTTTGCTTTGCTTCTTGCTTTTATGTTTATTATTAGAATTTAAAATATCTTTTTTTTTTATATACAATATGATCGAGAAAAAAAACGGCGTCAGCGATGGATATGAACTGAGGGTCGCTGTAACTTTATATGTCAAATTGTATGGGGAATATCATCGATTGTTTTGGTTTGGTCATGACAAATGACTGATACCGTGATTTCTAATATCCATGATTTAAAATCGTGATGTGATAACGGCTTTCAATCTGTCCCATGGATACCGTATATAAATAAAGTTATACAAGTGGATATTTCCTTCCATAATATATCATTCACGACTATACATGATGATATATTTTGGTGATTATACAACACTATGGGGAAATTAAAATAACTTTGTTGCACATCATAATACGACCACCAGCAAACTCCATAAGACGACGCATGGTGCCATTGATGACGTGCAACGAAAGTTGTTTTAATTTCCCAAGGATGTGATTCATAAGTGATAATAATTTAAGTGATTATCGCTTGGTGGCCATATTGTAATTGTCATTCTTTGAAATATTAATTCAGAAGTCATTTCTGTCAGTTCCACAAAATATCCCGTCAATACTGACTACAAAATGGGAAAAAATATATATATTTTATTTTGTTGTATAATCTTTTGAATACAACTCGATGTTTCGGGATTACTTAATACTTTTACCTGACACTCAATGCGATACCGGCACCACATTTCGTGTCAGGTAAAAGTATTATTCGGTAATCCCGAAACATCTGTGGTATTACATTCGATAAACAGGCAAACCGAGGCAAAAGTTTATATTCAATACTTACGACATATTTATCAACTTCAACAGAAATTTCTATCCAAAATGCTCGGCCTTGATGAATATTTAAAGTTCCATATCTATCTTCTGCATGCCAAACATCATTACTCCTATTATTTCTTACAATAACTCCTGCAACAGAATTTTAAAATCTCTAGTTATTAATGTATAATCGTTTAGAATAGTAGGTATTAAATTTTAATACCTACTATTTAGAATTTATTAGAACATTTTAGAAATTAACTTATTTTAAAAGAATCTAATTTAATTAAAAATTGTTCTACCTTCGTCTAGTCTTATTCCGGAATGGAACTGAATGTCTCCATCCCTGCTCTTGCCAGTTTGTAGATCGACTCTAAACCTAAAATTATAATTATGATATTATAGGTATTTTATAATAATTATGTTATATATTATAATATTACATCATATATTATAATATTATATTAGGTATATATTATAATATTGTATATATTTATGCTTTAGAATTTTGATGACGGTGAGTGAGTCACGGTCAAAATTAAAGAAGTTTGACTAGCGATAATTCATAAACTTGAATAATTGTTGTTGCATTGATATACCAATAAAATAAGACAATATCATATGCATTAATTCTAGTTTTCTAACTTTTTGTCGACTGGATAGATAGATAACGGTAGCGGCTTGGCGCCTAACTTTTAATGCATAACGATATTTAGAGATTTTTAATTTTTGTCTTCTGTTATAAACTAAAAAAATCCAAAAAAATAGAGTTAATATAAAACAGTATACTATTCTAGCTTTATAATTTTATAATGATTTTTAAATTTTTATTAAAAAACGATAATTCTAGCAACCGGTCGGATAGCCCTGGCAGCTGTAGCCATTAAACCAAAATAGTGCTACATCTAATTTCTGACTACTACTAGCACAGAATATCTAGCTACGCAACAGAAAAATACTCGAAATGAAAGAGCTAAAATTGCACAAATAGAATACTAGATGGCGCGACAATGTCATAATCAGAATATAATTAGAAATTTTGAACTTTCGGTTTTGGATCGACGGCTCGTCGACTGCCTTGTAGCTCGGCTAAATATGCACAGTTGCCAGATTCAAAAAGACTTGAATTGGCATCCCTTTCTTTTTACTGTGTATAATGCAGTATGTGTTTCTTTCTATTCTTCTTTTCTTGTCAGATACACTTATATTAATTATTCCTTTGGCTATTAAAATAGTTTTAAGTATATATATTATTACAAAACATATACATTTTTAATATACACTACCTTATAATGTTAACTAAGAAAATACCTTTAATTGCCTTTAAAACTAATAATATACAGGGCGATTGATAGTGATATTTATTAATGCTGGAACGTTAGTAATGAAATATAAGTTTAATAATAATGGAAATAATTTATTAAAATGCAGTACAAAAATGTTAACTGACTAAAAAATACTATAATAACAAATTTCTTCCGCTTGCCACGTTATTTATATAGACCTAGGTAGATTTTAAAAAGTGACACAGGTACAATTAATAATATATTAGTTCGGCATAAAAGTTGCTGTCACGACATCGAACAATAAATTAAAATTCGTAAAATAAATTAAAATTATTAATTAAACAAATCTTTATAAAGAAACGCAAGTATACCAAATTTGGGCCCAATCAAACACCAGGAAATGATATCATAATAGTGTACTATATTATGGTACCACTTGATATGCTTTAAGGTACCATAATATTGCAATGTCACCGAAGATCCGTAGTATACCAAATTTAAAAACAATCGAACGCCATGAAATGGTATCGTAATATGGTACTATATTACGGTACCACTTTATATACATCATAGTACAATCATATTACAATGTAACCGAAGATACGTAGTATACCAAGTTTAAGCCCTATTGCCGCCATGTACCTAATATTGCTATGTCATCAAATATGGTACTATAGAAGGTACCACTTTATATGCATCATAGTACCATCATATTACAATGTTACCGAAAATACGTAGTATCCCAAGTTTAAGCCCAATCGAACGACATGTACGTAATATAGTACTATATTATGGTACCAGTTGATATGCTTCATGGTACCATAATAATGCAATGTCATCAAAAATACGCAAGTATATATCAAATATGAGATCAATCGAACGCCAGGAAATTGTATTGAAATATGGTACTATATTAAGGTACCACTTTATATGCATCATAGTACCATCATATTACAATGTAACCGAAGATACGTAGTATACCAAGTTTAAGCCCTATTGCCGCCATGTACCTAATATTGCTATGTCATCAAATATGGTACTATAGAAGGTATCACTTTATATGCTCCATGGTACCATGATATTACAATGTCACTGAAGATATAGTATATCAAGTTTAAGCCCAATCGTACGCCATGTATCGTAATATGGTACTATATTATAGTATCACTTGATATGCTTCATGGTACCATAATATTGTAATCACAGAATATCTAGCTACGATTCTGTGATTGTAATGTCATGAAAAATAGTATATATCAAATACCGTATGATACCGAAAAAAACGGCGTCTAGTTGGCTGGAAAAGGACGATCGATGACATTTTCCATATAAATTTATATATAAAATGACAGCGATATTCATTTCATAGCCATCGCTAACGCCGTTTTTTCGTGATTATACGATATGAACTTGGTATGAACACAATCGAACGTCAGGAAGTGGTATCATAATAGTAGAACAATACTTATTATATTGTCGCCGAATTACAATGAAAATTCAGGATTCAATTATATAATCAAACGTCAGGAAGTGATTGTAATTTAGCTCATAAGATTTAATTCCAACTAACATGGCAAATTGAAAAAAAACAGCTCTGATCTATTTTAATATGTTTAAATGATGTAGCAAATTTGAAGGTAGGCTTTATCAGGAAGTATTACGATATGAATTACACAATGGCAACACTGCACAAAATTCTTTTAAATTTTGTTTGTAGAAAACAGATTCTTTTAAATTTATTGCCCTCTATTATGTAGTAGCGAAACTACCGCATCAAAATATCTGATTTGGAGACTTTAAAAGTCTGTCTCCTTTTGCTACCTACAATTTTATACATGTAACGAGGCTTCTGTTGCGTAGCTAGATATTCTGTGCTACTAGCCAACAATCAACAATTCGTTTTGTGTGATCTGTGGTCTGTCGTTCTTTTAAAGTTTTGTTTATTGTTCATTATTTATAGTGATTTCCAGTAATTTTATTAAATTATAGGGATATTCTCGTTGATTATAGGTTTGAAATAAATATAAGAGTGTCCTCCAATGAAAACACGAGTTACTAACTCTAAATTCTAATTCTGAGCTGGCAAATGAGCTAAATGCTTTACCTAGACCGTTATTCAGAAGCTGCAAAACTATCGATGAAAATATGCATAAAAATTCACTTGCTAGTAGGCTACCTACTCAACCAGAGGATATTGGTACACATCAAGGTTGGTACAGTCAAGTTTATTACAATATATATTACCCAGTGTTGCCACAAGCTTGTTTTTCATCGGGGTAGATTATCAATAGAGCGGGGTTAAATTGTTTTGAAAAGAGGTAGATCTACCTCGAATGGGGTGGCTGTGGCAACAGTGCCATTGCCACTTTTCCTTTCGCTAGCTCGTGCGTCACTGCCGTCACGACCTTCATTCAAGGCCGTGAATTTTTACTCCCAACGCGAGTAAAAGTTTCACTTCAAATGTGGAATTTTATCGTCAAACAATAAAAGATTGTTTTTTAAATGCTAAAAGACAAATGTCATATCACCAAATGTCCAAAATCATCCCTGAATATTCCAAAAATAGTGTTGGGTGGCAAAATATTGAAAAAAAAATAAAAGAAAAAAGTTTTTCATAATTTGATTTTAGATCCACTTCAAGTCAAGTTTCATAAATTTGAGAGACTTTTTTTTCAATAAAATATATAATATTAATACAAAATAACAAAAAAAAAGAAAATAAATGAAACAAGAGGATTTCCCAATACACTACTTTTTCTTTATTATATTGAAATTAAATGTAGACCATCAAAAATAACAATAATTATTCAGATACCAAATTTGTATGTAGAAAATAAAACCTTAAAATAACAAATACAAACTTAGAATAGTATATCATATTATTTAGAAAATCTATTAAAAGTTCTTTAATTGTATTGTGTTAGTTCAAAATGTTGTTTTGTATAGGCCATGGCAGGAAAATTAACATTTTTAATTTTTCTACCCTTTATTGCGAAACAGTAAAATTACTGCATTACACGTTATTTTTATTAGGTGAAATTAATAAAAGCGGGTTAAACATAGGTTTACAGTAAATGTTTACCTTTTTGCTCCTGGTAGGACTTCTCCTTTGATAGTTATAACTAGGCCTGCGCGCATTCCACCAGGAATAGGGGAAATATGAGACATGGTATATTTAGAATATTGACCTGAGTTGGGCGAAAATGAAAAACTGAATAAAAACTGAAAAACTCAACGATACTGCTTTTATATAGTTTATTGAAGTGTCAAACTACCTATTTAAAGGTGAATTAATGTTTTATGTATTATTTATATATTTATCTTTCTTAGTCACAAAAATACAATATCTTTTAACAATGTATATATATACGTTTATAATACATATAATAAAGGAGTACAAATTTCCAAAAATTAATACGTAATCGACTGTTGATGATCTAAACATATAATAAATTAATGATTAAAAATCCTATAATATATTATAAAGATAAACTAATTGTTTACACCTTTTATTAGGCATAATCACAGGATAATCTACTTTATATTTTTTCAGATTCCTTTTGAATGTTATTTAAAAATATAAACTCATATTACACAACCGTTTTTCATTGAAGTCGTATTCAAAAAGACTTCTATTTTGTTAACATAAGCATTATTGTTTACTTGGTTGTGACTTGGTTGTATATCATTATTCAGTTCGAATTGTATTATCGAGCTGTAGACACGTCCCCCACTGGTTAAATTAAATTTTTAATTAAATGTTTAAAAAAAACGGGTTGTCTGATTCCAATAGATTAAGTGGCGCAGTCGGTAGGATTGCCAAAAACGTAATTGCATTGAGCATCGTTTTTCAATTTTAAAAGATTAATCGAATAGTAATCACTACCTATTGCACTAAATATTCCTGAGAACGCTGTACAATATAGTAATTAATATTTATTCGAATTATGAAGGTCTAATTTTTCCACAGCTATATTCATTCGTTCATTACAATTTTTGGTTGCCTAGTGTTAGTCTTTTCTGTATCTTAGTATCCTACGACACTGTAAACAACCCAAAAGATAAAAATGCACTCCTCTTACTTATTATGTACAGGGTGGACCAAATGGGATGCTTTTAAAAGGACTCGCGAAGAGATAGACGAAAACTAATATCGGTGTCTGAAGCTCAATTTTTATCAAAAACATGATGGTGAAAACCGCACATCGATATCTGTTTCCGTTTCGAAGTTACGGGGTGTTTTTCAAAAATATACATTTTTAATAAATCGCTGTAACATTTTTATGGCAATGGGAATTTTTTTATTTTTATCAAAACATTTTCAAATCACCTTTTGACGTAGAATTTAATGGTTTAAGTATATTTTTTTTTAAATTAATAATTTAAGAATTATCAACAGAAAATTTGATTTTTTATATTGGACACCCTGTGTATTTTTAATTGATTGAAAATAATTTAAAATTACCTTTCCAAAAATATACCATACTTGATATTTTGCTCGATTCCTCTTCAAGATATAGAGTTTTTAAAAATTCGCCCACTTTGAATAAGTAGGCTTTGAACGGCGCCGGCTTTATAGCAAGAAAATAATATTTGCAATGAGATACGCGATAACAATTTAAACTATATTTAACAACAACACATTTAAACTATATCTAATAACAATAAGAATTAATAGCATTCCAAGACACGAGATTTTGCTATAGGTGTTCGGCATGTCGACCGTCTTCTGTTATGGACAGACGGGACCGTTTTTGAACATGTCTCGCGGAAGTCATTAACTCAGTGGGGGTAAAAGATACCCTCGCATAACCGCTAAGTACTTCTAATTCTTGTCTAGATTATAAGGGCAATTTAAAAATAAGAACCTTTATTCTTCCGCAAAGATAAAAATCCATAGGCATAGGTCCGGTGGCCTCGACGGCCAACGGCTGGGATCTTGGTTAGCTGTTCGATTACTCTCGAAATTGGCTGCAAAAATTTGCTAATAACTTCAGCGTTCAAGGCTTCGTCTTGCTGGAAAAATATGTTTTCGAGTTGCATTGAGAGCAGATCATGAATAAGGGGTCCAAAGCCTACTAGTTAAAAGCGGCGAACTTTTAAAAATTCTGTATTTCGAAGGAGACTATAATAAAATATTAAGTGTGCTTTATTTTTGGAAAGGTAATTTCAAGTTCTTTTCAGTTAATTAAAAATATACGAGGTGTCCCAAATAAAAAACAATCTGTTGATAACTCTGAAATTATTAATAAAAAAAATATACTTAAACCATTAAATTCTACGTAAAAAGGTGCTTTAGAAATGTTTTCATAAAATACAAAAAGTTTCAATAAAAAAGTTACAGCGATTTGTTAAAAATGCACATTTTTGAAAAACCCGAACAGTAACTCCGAAACAGTAATAGATATCGATGTGCGGTTTTGACTATCAAGTTTTTGATAAAAATTGAGCTCCAGACATCGATATTAGTTTTCGTCTATCTCCTATAAAAAAGGGTGTTTCCCTTTAAAGGCGTCCAATTTGACCCACCCTGTACATGATTACTTCTCTCAACAAAACAATCACATTACATTATTTCCTAAATAGCAATATAAATAATTAGTTAAGCTTACTGTAATAAACTAAATCATCAGCGATTGTATCGACCGGGCATGAGATATACAAAATAATAAAATACAGGGATTTCTTATATTTTTTAAGGAGAAGTTTTCTTTATGATTACGAATTCAGCGTCTACACCGCCAGCGTTTTATACTTTTTTACGATCCAATAAAAAATACAACGGCAAAAAGAGAAACCGTTTTAGGTGGGTACGTACGGAGCGTCTAGGTCCGCTGTTATTACTCATAAAATGAAGAAACCGGATTTTGAACGTTTTATGCTGTCGGTATCTTGACGAGAACGTTTTGAACGTGGATATTTCCATAGGAATGGCTGACGCGTTTTAATGGAAAACGGAATCGTATCGCAAAAGAAGCGGTGCGACGGGGGTGTATTTTTAAAAGATGATGGAAGATTTGAGAAATTTGCATTTGGAGAGGCGTCGGAAATGAATGGGCGAGATGAAAAAATTCGGTGCTGCAGTGGGGTCGAAGATTGAATAAGGTCTAATACAGCTTAACAACAGCCTATTTTGCTTTTTTTGTATGGAAGGATCGACGCGGATTAGGCCAGACTCGAAAAATGATGGAAAGATAATTGGAAAAAAATCTTTGAGATAACTTTTATTAAAGTTGAGTTTAATTAAGTAAAATTTGAAATCCCATTAAAACCTTAAAATTTAAAAAATGCCAAGTCTCACAACGCAGTTCTTCCACTACAAAATGTGAGATCTTATGTAAAACCAAGGCAGTTAGTGTCTATGGAAGCGTGTCTAATTATTCAGTAACTTGTTATCTAATTAATTTCCAACCAATAGTTATTAGTAGTGGGAACTATCGAATGAATACTATCGAAACATTCGATAGATTCATTCGAATAATTCGATAGTTAGTAAGAAAACATTCGTTGAAAACTATTCGAATAAAAATTATCGAATAGATCCGTCATCTGCCTTGAAACATTGTATTCTAGTAATTCGGCAGCAAAAACCATTCATTTATAAAATTCATTCATTTATGAAATTCATTTATTCGTCAGGATCGATTATAATAAAATATTAACTGAATTTTAGTTGTCGCCCGGCGACGTAGGTTTCTTTCCGAGAAACCCGACAGCGGTCGGTGGCAATGCTATGAAAGAAGCCGCATCTTTGATTTTTTGCGGAGACAGATAAAAATAAGGACACATTATTTTTTTTATTGATGTGCTAGTATTTACACAGAAAATACATAATGAAGGGCGCTGTTGCCATATTTTGGTATTAGTTGATATTAGCAAAGAATATTATTGTTTGGCTTTAGTTAGTAGTTAGGGATAGTATGTCTATATATTCTGCATTTTTTTTTATTAATATTCTGTTGTTACACTACAATAATACTTGTTATTTTGGATGTAGGAAAATGATTTTTAATATTTTTAAGCAAAGACTGGTTTAATAAATAATAATAACAGTAATAATTTGTTATACCTATTAACAACAAAATTTAAAATAATTTAATATAAATATTATTTTAAGTAGCAGCAAAATATAAACAACAAATTAGATGTCAAAATTAATTATATTAGATCCTATTTAAATATTTAAAAATAATATAGTCCCTAAATTTTTTGGTAACGTTGGTTTATTAAAGAATAATAATTACAGAACTAATTTGTTATATTAGTATAATATATATACTATTAATTTTCTAAGCATGCAATGTAATGGAAGGAAAATATAAATAAAAAATTAGAAATCAAAATTATTTATATTACTATTTAAAAATTATACTTACTTTTACTGGCATTTACTTTAAAAAATAAATGAAATATTTCTTCGCAAAAAACTACATGTAAGAGAATTAGCATAAACAAAATACAAACATTGTTAACCTTTTTTTTTAAATTGGCACGTGTAAAACTTTCATTTTAATTTTCTCACCCCATAGTTTGAGTTCGATAACCATTACCACATTACTTAAATATGATTATTAAGTTCAACTAATTCATATTATTAAAACATCTAAAATACAAATATGTATTTTTAAAATTAATTGTAATTTCATCTCATCTCTCTTAAAAATTGCTACTTCTCAAAATTTCCCATTAAAAAATAGACCATATACCATATAAAATTAAATAATTGAAAGATCGGGCTACGGAAAATCACACAAATTTTCGGAAAAATTTTGACCACCTGCACATGCACACAATCGTCAATAAATAAAATTTAAAAAAACTACTATTTTAGTATTTTAAATATTTTAATAAACGCAAGAATAGCACAGTATTTATACGGCGAAGTTATAAAAATTTAGTCGCACGGCGAGGTTGTCACATATGCTTTAGTATACAAATGAATGAATGATTTTATTCGAATAAAACCATTCGATAGTTGAAAACATTCATTCAGAAACCATTCGATAGTCTAATTCATTCGATAGTTCCCATCGCTAATAGTTATAATAGTTATATCTACACTAACCAGCACGGTAAAATTTTGATGTATTTTAAAGTTTTATACAGGATGGTCCGAACTGTATTCCGGAAACTTCGGCAACCTATTCTGCAAAATAAAAATAAGTAAAAAAGTTCATGTAAGTGTACAGAGTCCTTGTGAACTCAAACACTTGTAAGTATTTGAGTCCTAAAATGCATAGTTTCGGAGATACAGCGTGTAGAA